ATTTTTGCAAATGAAAATTAGAAAAAGAAAATATTACTTAAAATTATACAAATTTTCAAACGATTTTATAACTTATACACACACATACATGTTAACACAGTTATAAATATATATATAGTATATACAATAGTATACGTAAGTCAACATAGTTATATATTACATATAGTATATATTTTTACATAATATAAAATATATAACACAATACTATTTATTATTATAATTTTATACACAGTAGAATAGTAAAGTAACTTGCGGGGGTCGTGAGATTTAAACTTTCCTCAGGACATTTTTGGGCAGCCCTTGTTGGACACCTGTGAGGATCACGCCGTGTATAAACGGTGGGTTTGAAAGAAGAACGAAGGGAAAAGAGAGGAGTCAGAGAGAGAGAGAGAGAGAGAGAAAAAGAAGGGAGGAGCAGGAGGAAAAAGAAAGGCGGTGACCGTGGTAAAAAACGAGATAAAAAATGAGACGCATCTCGCAGAGGGGTAGACCGGTTCGTCTGGTCCTTGATTTGAAGCCAAGAGTGTCCTTTTTCTTTTTCCTTCATTTTTATATTCCTCTACCCCCCCCTAACCCCACCCCACCTTTCCTTTCCTTTCTCCTTACCTATCATTCTATCTCACGCGCACTCGTACTCTTTCATCTCCTCTTACTCGTTTTCTCCCCTTCGATCTCGATCCTTCTCTTATCCCTTTACCCCCTCCCCCCTCTTCCACCCATCACCCCACCACCCCTCTCACTCCTTTTCATTCGTTTTCTTCATTTTATCTTTCTCTCTTTCTTTCTATTTATTTCTCGTGTCTCTCCCGAGCCCAGTTTTAAGGGCGTCGCCTGGTATCACGTCACAGTGGTTGGTAGACCACATACAATTTATATTTCTCCCCATACTATATCGAAGATTTCCTCTAATTGGATCTCTTTCCCGTTCCTCCCTACTCTCTCCCCCCCCCGCCCCAACCACCGCTTCTCCCCCGTTCCCCTGACGCAACCTTGTTTAATGTAACGACCTGTTGCTGCTGCTGCATTGCTCCTTTTCGTTAAAAACATTTTTCTCTTTTATTTCATACACGATACTTTTTTTTTGTTCCCCCCTTACCCCACCCCCCGCCCCCCCATCGATATAGCTGATTTTCATTTTGTTTATTAAATATATAGAATTTGTTGTTGTTGTTGTTGTTGTTGTTGTCAATTGATAATATATTATTTTAAAATACGTCTCGGAGAATTCAATCGAAATGGAACAAAACTCGAGGTGGTTTTTTTTTTTTATATATAAAAAATTCAAATAGTACGAGAATAATCGAGGATGATATTTATTAATAAAATATTGTTAACCCTTTGAGTTATTATTGTTTCACTTTGAGTGGTGAATACTTTTAATTGAAGAGTGTTTTCTACGAATGAAATAGTTTATTATTAATGTGTTACCACAAATATGATAATATTAATAAATTATATTTAAATAATTACAATTTTTCTTTCTAATAATATTATTATCATCTGACAAAATACAACAAAAATATTACATTATTTTACATTAATATTGATAAACACACGCGTATCCAACTTTTATTAAACGCATATATGCATCCATAGCACTCTCAAAGGGTTAAAGATATGTATATATATATATACGTAAGCAAAAAGAAAAAGAAAAAAATAACAAAAATGTATTGAATTTATTGTGGTAGATATTATTATATCGATTTGTTACTTCTTAAATAAAACGATCGTAGATAAATTATTTCACGAGATTTGAATACGAGTTTCATTTAATATAAATGATAATATTTAACGAACACAAAATTTGTTTATTCGA